TATCTCCAGTAGCTGAGACATGGTCTTCTTGACATTGAATGGCCTCATGTGTACTCATGGGGATGGAAGCTTACTTGGAGCTTTTGGGTAGGACACGCTGCTGTTTTTCCCATCATTTTTCCCCTGAATGTAAATTTTCCAACAGACTGATGACAATGGATGGTGTTTGGGGCTCATGTTTCCTTTGTAGATATGGGACATAAGAAAGGCAATGTTTTCTCCCAGGATGAAAGCAATCTGTCTGTGCCTACAGGTCTCTCTTTGATTACAATTAATTAATCACGTTAGAATTGTGCCAAGAATGCTCTGATCAGAGAAGCACCCAGTCAAAGGACAGACACATAAAGAGAATTTAGAGGAAACCCAGGCATTATGTTACACGTCATAGAGGAGCTGCTACAAGAGCAAATAATATTTTAATCTTTTCAGGGGGCATATTTTTGGAAGCCTACAGAGAATGTCCACCAGGATTAGAAAAGTGCTTCATAGTTTCTGCTGAAGAGGATGTTTGCCCTCCCATTTTTTTCTTCAACACCTGTTGTTTTTTCCAACCTATGCCAATCTAACTCCTGCTCAGAATTAATGTGGTAGGTAGGAGATAAACAAAAACTTTCTGTCAGGGTGTGCTGAGGAAGTTCACCTCAGTTATATTTCAAACTGTTAAATGAAGTACCAGTTCCTTAAAGGCATTTAGACACGTCTTTTTTTTTTTTTTTTCCTCCTTCTGTCCAAGAACATGTAGAACATGGATGATATTGGATGCTTGTATTCCTCTGGTCTTACAGTTTCTCTGTCCTGGTGATCGAGTTTTGCTAGGTGGACACTTGAGGAAGAGGAAGCAAGACTTTGATTAATAACCCACTTCATTGTGACTGGTTGGAAAAAGATGATTTGAGGCTTGCCTACAGCTCCTGCTCAGAATCAGTGTCTTCTATTCTTTGAGATCAAAGTATTAGTCTCATAGTTGATAATTTAAAATTTAGTCCTGTGAGGGCTTTAAAGATTTATGTAGATTTTCTGTATATCCTTTTGGGTGCATAATTTCATGATCATCGACTTAAATTGCTCAAAATCACTATGCTGTTCCTTAGTGTTGCAGAGACATTTCATGATCTCTGACTTGTCTTCTGATTGGCATGTCACAGGTTTGCTTAGGAAGAGACTTAACTACAGTAGAGACTAAAGCACTTATGCCCAAGTGCAGACCCATAACTGCCTACCATTGTCCTGTGCACCTGTCCTGGAAAGTTATCAGCAATAGCAAACTTCCTCACAAACTCCATGAGATTCTTGCTTCTGAACATGGAAACTCTTCTAAGAAGGATTGGAAAAGGTTATGGTGTGCTTTTCAGGGAGAAAGAAGTATCAGTAATCTGATATTCAGCAAGTAGAAATTTCTGTGGAAATGTGACACCTAAAATGCATTCCATGGTGCTCCAAGACATTTTCCTTCCAATGATTTTACTTTTCATTAGACATCTAAATAAATGTCAGGCTCTGGATCCTTTCACATTAAGTAGTGTTACTATGAAACATTAACATACCTGCCAAATGCTTATTTACTGTGGAAGTTCCTGTAACTGTGTACTCAGATTCATCCAAAATCAGGATCCTCTTTGTACAGACCTCAAGGCTTTATTGACGGACCTCAGCTGACCTGTTAGCTCACAGAGACAATCAGCATCGATGCCTACAATGCACTTGCTCCCCTTTGAGAGGTGTCTTGCCTAAAGCTTGAAAAACTGAACAAGTGACCTCAACTGACCCTACTTTCTCCAAGTCAAAAGTTTCATGTCCTACATGGTCCATGGATGGAAAATGAAATAGAATGGTAAAACATTAGAGTGATGACCTTTTTGTGACAGAAATACTTAAGTTTGAAGTTGGTCTTCTTCTATAATCAGAGGACTAGAATGAATTTCAAAATCTCATATTAAAGGGAATATTAGTGTTTGAGACCAGATTTAAATCTCTGGTTATCTTAGAAAGAAAGATCAAAAATGAAATATATTTTTCTTCAAAGTGCTTATATGGAGCTCCATTCCTAATGTATGATTCTATCAAATTCTAACAGCCTAGCATGATGGGAAAGCAGAAATCACTTGTGTCAGTCATTCATCCTGATGAAAACATCTGTATTATCTTACATTGGACTTCTTAAGTGACCAAACTTTGGTGGTTCAAAGGATTGCTCACTGTGTGGGACACACCAAAAAATTCAACATTGTGGTTCTAGTTCAATGCATTATTTGATACTAAGGACTCTGTTGCAGAGGATCTCTCTATCTCTTGGGACAGTGGGGAGGGAAGCTTTTCTTTCATGCTTTTTCTCAGGAGAGCTAGTTTGGCTGGAACAGCTGCTGAAATTATTAATCCACCAACTGACTGGTCATATGATTTCACAGAGACCGGTTGTTATTCATGTGCAATGTGCTCTTGCTTCCTTTCTCCATGCTCTGGGTTCTGCACAGTTCTGCACATCTGACATCAGTACTGCAGCTGTATTACACTGAATCCTTTATATTTTAAGGTCTCACTTCTAATTACTGAAAAAAAAGAGACCTTGCTCACGTATGTTGGAAAGGGACAAAGCCTTATCAGGCTCTGATGAGGTTTTACCTGTTCAGGCTCCCTGTGCTCTGGTCAGCAGCAGACTGCTTGTACATTATATGCTGCATTTTTGTTGTCTATCAGATTAGTGCAACCCTTTGTTCCTAAGACCCAAGAATTTAAAGGTGTTCCACAGACTAGCCATGTCTGGACACATCCATTATATGGCTGCCTGTCTTGAATGGACCTGAGATGTTCATGTCTTCAGTATCTTGAAATACAGATGCTATAACAATGGTCAGGGTAAAACACTCTGGATGTGTGGTGTCTGGAGATGGCTGTACTTCTTCATGAGCACAGTAGTACTGGGTGTGACAGGATGGTGGAGGAAGGCGAGACAACGGCATATTAACCCTTCCAACAAGAGGGGCAAACAGCTTTCCAGAGCACCAAGGGGAGATAGGAGCACATTACATTGATAGTGCAATATTCACACAAGGATTTTGGTACTTTTGGTTAGGATTTCTGGGAAGTTTCAGTAGCAGGCTTGGTCTGTGCTAATGTACAAATCTGGGTAGTACGGAGAGTAGAAAAATTGAGATTTGCTAGTACCATTTATATTCTGGTCATTACAGGGCTCAATAATCCTCTTCCCTGGCATGAGTGACAGAGGCAGTGAGGAATGCAGAGCTTGTTCTGCAGTATAATATTGACCACCTGATGGGTTGAAATATGGGGGAATGTCTATTCATTCCAGAGCACGTGGCAAGGTCTGCTGTGGGAGATATGTGCCGGGCTGAATGCATCACTGGGCTGTTCTACATGGGCAGCTGTGGTGTCCCTCTGAGAGGGAGAATGCCCTGCACTCTGCCATTCAGTGTCCCCTCCTTCCTTCCCCTGGGAACATCTTCACAGCCTGTCACAAGGGTGACCAAGGGAAAACCCTTGAATGAATCACTAAAGAGACCTCTGAGTTCTTGAAGAAGAAGAGCATTTTAAAAGTACTGAGCTATTAAGTTGCAGTATCTTATGCATTTAAAGCAGAGTTCAGCTTTTAACCATTCCAAGATAGCCCTGCAAGGCAAACAACACCATTTCCTCCATACTTCACAAGGAAGGAAATTACACCACAAGTGACATAGCTGAAGTTTCAAGCTAGGTGAATATCAGAGAAGGGAATAGTATTTATGCTCCTAACTACCAAAACTGGTGTTTTGCTCTTCAAGGCAACAATGCCTCCAAGGCTTTGTGTTGCAGAATGAACAAAGCTAATGCAACTTTAATAATGTGTATGTATATTTTATGCCTTTGCCATAAGGACATGGGTTCCTTAGGCTATATGATTTTGACATATAGTTGAAAGTGGTGCAGCTGTAATGCAATGAGATGGTCATGTCATAAAATCTGTAACAGATGAGATTTTTCCTCAGAGGGGATGATTCCTTTATCAGCATCTAGTACCTGGGTATGGGGGGGGGGGGGGGGGGGGGGGATGTTTTTTTTTAACCTGGATCTGAATTCCTTGAGCTTAAGCTAATGTTGATTTTGCTGCCATGCTAGTTTGTTCCTATTTTTTATATCAAAGGTTTTCACTTCTGGACAGATTATTCATACTGAAATATGCCAGCCCTTCCTGATCTGTGACTGTAAGTAAATATGTTTACAATGGTTTGTTTTCCTTTTTTCCTGGCCTGATTGGGTCACAAAAAGGAACTTACATATATTATTTTTATCTTCTGAGAAAAATGTAGCTGGAGATTTTTTGGGAGGAGGTAGTTTTTTCCTCTTCAGTGCACTGAAGGAGTTAGGTATCAAAGAGTGTGTGTACATAGATATAAAAAGGGAAGCACCCTACTTTCTGTTGCCAGTGTCAGACCTGCTTGACACTGGGTAAATGTCTCTGTGTAATGGCTAGAGAAGTATCAACGTGTGGGTGAAATATCTGCATGCAGTAAAAACAGGGGAGTCGCCTTTAAATTCAGGATCCGAGTTTCCAAATACAGTTTGCTGGAAAAACACCATCAGATTTGGCACGGGTTCTCCAGTGGGGAGTTGTATGTGAAATGAAATTTACAGTAGGGCTCGGGAACCATTCCTCTCTACCCTAGATACAGAGAAAGAGATTTCCAAAACGGAGCTCTCGGCGATGCCGGGGTAGGGCAGTAGGTTTGTCAGCCTGCAGAGCTGTCTGCCGGCGTGGGATCGCTCCGTAGCCAGCATTACATGCGGGGAAGAAATCTTCCTTTCCTGGCTCATGGGTAGGGATAGGGGCCATCTAGTGGGGAGAGAACTTCACTGCTGAGAGTGTCTCCCATTTCATTTCCCGGTCTCGCTGCCTCCCTGGTACAGCCTCTGCATGCCGATACTAGAGTTAAAGGTAAATAATTCTCCTCTGTTTCAGGAAAGAACAGTAAAATTCAAGTCAGTGCAAAACACCCAGCCATACTTACACTAATGACATTCAGATTGCACTAGTATCAGGAGACCCTCGCAGAAATTGTGATCTGGTTTTGTTCCTTTGCTTCAGACGAAGTGGCCTGCTGATGTGAAAATAAAGCCAGATTATTATGTGTGCCCCCTCAATATTCCTGTGTCACATCACTTCAGTAAACTTCTTGCATTTAGTCCATGACCTAAAGTGTCAGCTTAGTTTATAAAAGCTGCTTCCTAAATTCACATGGTGGGTTTATGCTGAGTTGTCTTTAAGAGGCACAGGCAACTGACATACATTACATAATGATATGCATTTGTTTTTTATCAAAGCCTGAATCTTTACTTCTATTTCCTTTTGTTTTTAAGTCTGAAGGTGCCTATAAGGCTGGTCTATGCTAAATATGAGTTCATTTTCAATTTCTAAAATAGCTTGTCCCCACCCAGCACCCTCTACCCCTCCATTTGATGAGTGCTCCTATAATAAACTCTCTGAAACTTGTTCCAAAAGGCAGTGCTTTCATACGAACAGTATTCAGTCTCGTGTAACAAAGATCTATATTAAGATCCATAGATTGAATCTAGATAAAATACAGTCACTGTAACTGCTGACAGCAAGCTCTCCCCTGCCTTGCTGTGGTGAGACACCCATTGCAGGTGAATCCATTTCCCAGGTGCTTTGCCTTGAATACCGTTGCCTGGAAGAAATAGCTCTGCCGGGAGGTAGGGAAGGAAGGCACTTCTGTTTCAGGTGCCACACAGAAAAAAAAATCCACTAAAATGTATTTACATGAATAGTTATTGTCTCCCCTCCAGTTGCTATGCTCGTTAGCATCATCAGCTTTCATGACTGGGTCCTGCTGCTGGAGTACAGGGCTAACATTGGCCGCAGTCTGAGGTGTTGCCTTAGAAGGGGGCATTGTAGCTTTGCTGCCAGTGTAAAGCTAGTCTCACATTGTGCATTCCTCCACCTCTGTCACCCTTCTTCTTCCCTGCTCCTAGGTGAGAGGCTGAGAAGCACCTCTGGACTGGCCCCTTCAAGTACAGGAGCCAGGGGCCAAAATGTCCTGTTTCCTGGAGCTGGAGAGAGCTCATCATCCAGAGGAGGCAAAGCCCTGGCAGTCTGGATCTTGGGCCTGCTTGAGTCATGGAGAAGCTTTCCTTGGACTACTAGGAGAGTGAGCACAATCTGTAGCATCAAGGTCACCTTGGAGAAAATAATAGAGCTGGACATATGAGGATGTTTACTGACAACATGAATGTATCAGGTGGTGATCCCATTTCTAAGAAAAGTCTTCCCTAGCTCTTGCTTGCCACTGAACACTGAAGCCATACAGGATTTGAAAAAGGCCCTCAAACATTTCCCCACTGGCATTGTCCCAGCAGTGCTCTGAAGTAGGAGCAAAATCTAACATGAGCCATCAGGTGGGGAGTTTTGATAAGACTTGATTAAGCCTACCAAATCCCCCAAAAGGAATTACTTATTGATAACAAAGATTTTTTCCCACAGTACTTGATTCTTATGGCAATTAATGCTGCTGATTTTATGGCAACTGTATGATGCAAATATACGGTTCAAAGTACCAGCTTGTAAGGTATTATTTCCTTATTCATTTTAATGTTCATGAGGGGGATGGAATGTAGTGAGAACCAAGAAAGCTGGTATTTGATGCTCTGCTGTTATCACAGTCTTTCACAGTTTTGAAGACAGTGTCAGACCATTTAGATCAGTGAGCATGGGAATTCCCCTGTGAACTGGTTCCCCCACGGCCTCTCTCACATTTGTGGCTGACTGTGATCCTAGTGAACATAAGCCCTGTCTAACAGGGTCATATATTCAGAAACTTTCCAGGTGGATTCCTGGAAAGTATCTAGTAGAAATGTTATGCTTGTCTGTATATTAGCTTGGCCTTATTGCTTGTTCCTGACTTCACAATATATTCAGGAAATCAAATTATGCAAAGTGCTAGAAATGAAAGCAAATCTGAATGAACCACAATCCCTGGTTTCAAATATTCATAAATTCCTTAAGAACTTGTGTAATACAAAATATGTGTGTCATCCCATAGGCTACGATACATTTGCCTAAACTTTGGTACATTTATGTTTCTGGAAGCGGAGCATCCCACCAAGTATCTGACACAGTGATTTTCTGCTGTAGAAATGACCACGCAGCATTTAAATGCATCACTTACCTCTCTGCTGCCGCCACAAGACTCACACTCTGATGAACTAACATCTCTTTTAGAAGCCAAACAGCGTGTCCAAGTTACTCATGCTGGAGTTGTAGCTCCTATGAGAAACTAACACCTTTTCCCTCCTGACCACATTGGCATCGATGGCCTGGCCCTCAGGAGGCTTCAACAAAGCGTCCTCCAGAGCAGCAGAAAGGAGGCAGGAGATGCTCCTTCACCTTCAGCTGTTCCCAAAGCCGTGTGACACAGCTGCAGCCAGTGCAGCATGGTTTGCAGAGGGACTTGTGGCCGCAGAGATGGTGCCAGCAGCAGATGAGACCTGTCCTGTTGGCAGCTGCAGGACGGGTGCTGCTGAGGGCTGTGGGCAGAGGCCTTGCCTCGGATGTCCTGCCCCAGGTGAAGCTCCTGGGGCCCTCTGGCCATGGCAGGGACTAGAGCTGGCCTACTGCTGCATTCATCTCTCCTCCTTGTTTCCCAAAAGGCCGTGCCACCCCCAGCCCGCCTCAGCTGCCCCCACCTCGGTGGGGCCTGGCCAGCGCGTGCCCCCCGACACGCACCCGGCCCAGCCTCGAAACTCCATCACCTCACTCTGCTGCAGGGCTTCAATGCTGCCATTGTTCCCATCTCGCAAAGCAGGGTGGAAAACAAGGAATTTAACAGGGGAGGCCTGGCGCAAGTTTAGGTTTTACAACTCCAGTTCAATTTTTATTTTTTTTTTTTTTTAAATGTCATTTTATTGAAATTCTCAGAGAGGCAGGAAAGCCATATCTGGGCTTTGCATAAAACCCTGACCACCTCCCTTGTCAGGGTTTGATCAAGATACCTCATTGCTTTTCTCAATCTCTCTGCCTGCCTGCTTTAGTTGGTACAAAAGTGAAATTGGCATTGTTTTTACCATGTCATTGTTTTTACTGTGCCACATTAAAAAATAGCCCAATAAACTGGTGGGGGGAATCCTAATTATGCTGGCACGAGCATAATTTAATTCAGATTGCTATAACAACAACCAGTGTCCATGCTCTTTGTAATCATGTTAAGGCCTATACACAAAATAATTAGCATCTTTATGTTTGGTAAATAGAGGTCTGCTCCAGGTCAGCCTCAATGAGGACACAGCATTGTTAGAAGGCTAGGCCTTTTACAGCTGGTGCAGAATGGGCATTTGCAAATAAAATGCTGCTGGAAAGGACAAAAGAAGGGCTTGATTATCCAGGAAGCACCTCCACTTGCCTCTTACCCGGTTTTTATTCCTCCTTCAGAAGAAAAATAATAATTCCTTTATTCAAGCTCAAGGAATCAAAGGAAACTGCATATAATAGACACACTCTTTGCTCAGTTTCCTTTTCACAGCCAAACATGATCCAACAGGCTTCTAGAAATCCAAGTCTGTATTCCTGCAAACCTGAATCTGACAAAAGACAGGGGCATTTGTTTGTATATTTATTAAAAGTTTCTATGGTCTTTTGGCCTGGAACAGACCTGCCAGAATTTCAAGTGGTTCAGAAAAGTCAGAGGATGATTCTACAAATAAGCAAGAGCTTTGGTTCAAAGCACTCCAGCCATTTGTGTGTTTATGTTTCTAGTGGGTTTGCATGGCCTGGGTTTTGGTAGTAGTGGGGCTACAGGGGTGGTTTCTGTGAGAAGCTTCCAGAAGTTTCCTCCATGTCTGGCAGAGCCGATCCCTGGTGGCTCTGGGACAGACGTGCCACTGGTCAGGCTGGGACAATTAGAAATGGTGTTAACACCGCTGTGGTAACAGATTGGAGAGGAAGGGAAAAAGTTATTGCACAGAAGTAATTGTGACTGGGGAAGAGCAGAGTGAGAATACGTGAGTGAGCCCAAGGTGAGTGTGAAGGAGGGCAGGAGGTGCCCCAGGCACTGGAGCTGGGGTTCCCCTGCAGCCCCTGGTGCAGCTGTGGGGAGGCAGCCGTGCCCCTGCAGCCCCTGGGGCTCACCGGGGTGCACAGACCCACCTGCAGCCTGGAGGAGAGCCAGGCCGCAGCAGGTGGGTGCCTGAGAGAGGGCTGTGACCCCGTGGGAGACCCAGGCTGGAACAGGGTCCTGGCAGGACCTGCAGGCCTGTGAGCAGAGGAACCCACCCCCGAGCAGGTTTCCTGGTGGGACTTGTGACCCTGGGGGGGACCCAAGCTGGAGCAGCCTGTGCCTGAAGGATTGCACCCCGTGGAAGAGCGACCCACCTTGCAGCAGTTTGGGCAGGACTGTTGCCCATGGGATGTAATCACACTGGAGAAGTTCATGGAGAAATGTCTTCCCCAGGAAGGACCCCACAGTGGAGCAGGAGAAGGACTCCTCTCCCTGAGCAGCAGAAATGTGATGAACTGGCCTTAACCCCATTTCCATCTCCCTGTGCTGCTGGTGGGGAGGAGCTGGAGCTGGGAAGGAGGGAGGTGTGGAGGGAAAGTGGTTTTAAGGTCTGTTTTTTTTCTCATTATCTTGCTCTGATTTTGTTAGTAATAAATACAATTAATATCCCCAAGCTAAATTTGTTTTGCCCAGATTGATTTGGTGAGTGATCTCTCCGTCCTTGTCTGAACCCATGAATTCTGTGTTATATTTGCTCTTCCCTGTCCAGTTGCAGAGGGGAGTTTGGTTTGGTTTCTTTTGGTTGGTGCCATTGTTATTACTTACATCTATTTTTTAGAATCAATTGATGCTTTCCAGTGAAAAATGACCCTATTTTAAATTTGTAGAAAAAGAAGTTACTGCACTTCACTTTTTCAGTATTTTGTAACAGTGCCACAAAAGTCCTTATCCTTCTAGCTGGATTCCAAAATTCAGATAGCATCTCAAATATATTACCTTGAAGTTTTTATAAACAGAAAATGTTTGCTAATAACGTTAAGAGAGTGTCATCAATCAAATTGCCTGAAATTCTCTGGAAACACTCACAGCAACCTACACTGAGGCCCATTAGACACATTATTGAAATTTCAGCTGTATCTAATCAGTTTGCTACGCATGTGTGTTTCAGTGCAACAAAGTTGGTTTGCTCCATCAAATTAAGAGACAACTCATTTAGTCAGATGGAATGGTGTGTATTAACATTAACAATCTGTAGACCAGCCTGGCATGGGGATACTTTTAAATGCAGAGCTCAGGATATTTTAATAGCATTTGCTATGTGTTTCTCTGGATCATGGAAAAAGCCCTTTTCCTTTAGGAAGGACAAATGCACTTGCCCCACAGAGGTCCTCTCTCTTTCCTGTGCCATGTTCCAGAAGCAGCAAGGTTTCTTGGGAAATTTCAAGCATACTCCCCTTATCCCTAGTCTTATACCTCTCCTTTTTTTATTATTGAAATATTTTAATTTAAATATTTTATTTTTTTATTATTACTAAATTTTTCAGTAGTTAATCTCTAGTCTCCTATGGCTGGTAATTTCAGCCCAAATATAGTACTGAATGCAGTCAAAGAGGCATCATAATGGCCAGACAGAGCTTCTAGGAACACTCTTTCTACAGAACCTTAAGAAATCTCCCTAAGAGACTCTGCCTGCCCGACCAACACGTTGTTTATTTGCTGCTTTCTGAAAGCTGGTGAAAGCCAGCAGGTCAAGGGAGGTGATCCTTCCCCTCCACCCAGCAAAGGCCACAAAGATGACTTGGAGCCTGGAGCCTTTCTTACAAGGACAGACTGCAGGAGCTGGGCCTGTTTAATTCAGAGAAGAGAAGGCTGAGAGGGGATCTCAATAACACATGTGAATATCTCAAAGGTGGGTGTCAGGAGGATGCTGCCAGACTCTTGCCAGTGGTGCTCAGTGACAGGACAAGGAGCAATGGCCAAAAACTGAAAGACAAGAAGTTTCACCTCAGCATGAGGTGGCTGAACACTGGAACGGGCTGCCAAGGGAGGTCTTTGAGTCTCCTTCTCTGGAGACATTAAAAACTCACCTAGACAGGTTCCTCTGTAACCTGCTCTGGGGGATGGGGGGTGGTCTGGATTATTTCCAGAGATCCCTTGCAACACTAAAAATTCTGTGATTCTGTGGAAGTTTTTTGGACACATGCAAATTTTTTTAAGTGTGTCTAACAGAATCATTTGGGGCATTTCCAGGCAAGATGGGACAATACTTCCTCAAGCAAACTAGAAAAAGCTCAAATTACACTTTCAAGTTACGCTGCATAAAAAAACCCCCAAACCCAACCACAAACAAAAAACCACCAAAAACCAAAAAGCAAAAAAACCCCAAAAACTAAAAAAAGCTTTAAAAAAGTGAAATTGTGTTTTGTTTTGGCCGGTTATTTGCTTTTTTTTTTAATAAATTTGTTATCTCAATCTGTTTTGAAGGCAAAAGGCTCTCCTTTTGAGTTCACAGAAAGAAATCTTTTCCTGATTTTTTTTTTTTTTTTTTCTTTGCTAATAAAACGAAACAAAACAAACCAACCGAACAACACAGCCTGGTTATTGGAGCAGCTTTACATTCACTCCCCGGTGGGAAGTTTGTCCCGTGCGCGCTCCCGGTAGCGGCGCGGCTGTGAACGCGCAGCGCTGCAGGTGCGGCGGCGGCCGCCAGAGGGCGCAGCGGGCGCTCGCTCCCTGATCTCCCCCACCCCACTGAGATGTCCTTGACTCCTTGGGGCTGCTGACAGCAGTGACAAAAGTGCTGTGCCAAGACCTGGGGGTTTTCCCAGACCTGCTTTCTCGCCTGTAGGGTTTTGCAGCTCAAATCAATTCAGAAGAGTAAAGTAAGAACAAAAGTTACCCCTACACAAACCCGTTGCTTTCTGCTTGCTTCAAAAACCCCATTCTGCATATTTGGTGATTAACACACGTCATCCAGAGGTGGGGGATGAGCCAGCTCTGAAAGGCAGATGTTGTGGAAGAGGCACTATCCCAGGTGAATTACTATAAAGCTTCCTATAGGCATTGCTTTATAATTTTTAGGAATGTGGTCAAGTGTCCTTGTTCAGCACTGTGTGGTGTAGTCAGGACTCATATTATTAACAACCACACTCTTGCTGTCCTTTCCACTCTGCTATATAGCAACCAGACATGCTGTTCTTGTAATTTGTACTGTACTAGGCCTGAAAGTCACACCTTTGTTTGGGGTTACAGCTAGCTACAACTCTTTTGTTGAAATGCAAATGTGTCACAGTTCAGTGAGGGCTTAGTGATGCTGAAGTTTTTTGTCAGTGCAGCATGCTGCAGCGTCTTTCAGGTTTTAGCAGGAAAGGGTTTATCATATGTAGGATGATGCATGAGGGATGGCATCCAGCACTTCAGCCAAAAAACCAGAGATACTCTGAAAACAACCTACTGGGAAATGTCCATTTCACAAAAGAATACTTGGGAGACTTGGTTTGGCTCTGAGTGAGCGTGTGCACTAATCTGGAGTGTTGTCATGTCCTTAATCTGTCCCGATGGCTCTCTGGAGCCTGTGACACAGGTCTGGTGTGGAGAAAGGGCAAGTCTGCCTTCTCTGGGGACCTGAGGTGCCCAGAAGGGCACCTGCCTTCTCTGAGGTGGCAAGACAGAAGGGTGGGAGAGCAGCACTGCTATTCCCACTGAGCACTGCACAGCTCATCTCTGCCAGGAAAAGTGGCAGGATTTCTGCTGATGATTTGCCCTGTGTGTCACCACAAAAAACTGTTTGCAGCTCTCCTTACAGTCCTCTGTTCATCTTCCAACAGAATAAACATTCTTCTGCCTTCCTGTAATGCTCAAAACTGCAGGCAGCAATGGCT